TGGACCAGAGTCTGGGTTGAAAAGGGTTGAGGGTTTAGAGTTCAAGTCCGTTAATTATGAACTTATGAACCCCCCCGCCCTCCCAGTAATGAATGCCGGCAATATAGCAAACTATTTGTCTGACTAGATTTATTGAATATCCTATCTAGATATACGTACCTATATCAAGGCCCCCACATGTGTATACATATACTCACACATATTTATACTGGGAAAGACCTAGCATCTGGGGGTGGGGGTTTATTATCGGGCAGACGGGAGTTGTGACATTCACGCGACATGAGGTATCCCCCTTAACAACCCCTAGAAAGCTTCCCTATATCATCCTCTATATATGACCCCCTTTCAGGAGTTTAGGCCCTAAACTTTAAACCCTAAATCCTAAACCCTATATAACTCCTATGTGACCCCCTTTAGGGAGTTTAGACCCTAGACCCTAACCTGTAGATAATCCCCGTATAACCCCCCTTTAAAGAGTTTAGACCCTAAACCCTAACCCCTATATAATGCCTACATAACACCCTTTAAGGAGTTTAGACCCTAAACCCTAACCCCTACATAATGCCTAAATAACACCCTTTAAGGAATTTAGACCCTAAGCCCTAACCCCCATATAATGCCTATATCACCCTTTAAGGAGTTTAGACCCTAAACCCTAACCCCTATATAATGCCTATATAACACCTTTTAAGGAATCTAGACCCTAAACCCTAACCCCTATATAATGCCTATATTACATCCTTTGAGGAGTTTAGACCCTATACCCGAAACCCTAAAACCCTATAGTAGTCCCCTATATAACTCCCCTTAAGGAGTTGGCTCATGATGAGCTGAAGCCTGTGAGCTCGCTGGCAGTGTACAAGAACGGATGCAAAGAAGGGCGTAGGGTGGATACACAACTAGAATGTACCTAGGGTCCAGAAAAATCGTTCAATTGACTGTTTCGCGCTCACGTATTTTTCTATACCCTAAACCCTAAACCCTAGACCCTAAACCCCAAACCCTAAACCCTAGCTACAGGGACCCTTGGGGAGCTGCATCATCTATCGCGATTGCGCTTTACTGGGCTACCACCTTCATCAACAAGTGTCCCTTGCAAAAGCTTGGCTCTGTCAACTACGTTGGACATTGGACATTTTGCTAGCCACAAGTGTCTTAAAAGGTACTTCAGGGTTTATGGACATAGCATATACGTACTTGGTGTTAAAAAAAGGATTTTTCAGAAATCCATGTAAACCCTGAACCTTAGACTTGGACTTTGCCATCAACCCTAAACCCTAAACTTGGACCCTGCAAGATGTGACAGGATGCTCCAGGAGGCAGAGCAGCACAAGGGTGAGGATGAGACTCCCGGCAGCCTGCAGGTGGTGTGAAGCCGTAGGATTCACAAAGGTTTAGGGCTATACAGTTTATATGGGAATGGTATATGTGCATATATATTCACACATACGGCTACATATACATATATATATATACACAGAGGGCTTATGGATTTTTACTTCAAGCATGAAGAATCAAATGGAACATGACTAGGACACTGGGAGATATCGACATATGTTATATATATATACACAGATATATATATATATTCTCGAATACAAGATATATATAGAGTATATATATATAATACACATATTTTTACACATGCCACATGAAGAACCAGCGTAGAGGAAATAGGAAAACATGTAATAATGACATGGGCAATAGGGTGGAGGCTTCGTGATGGAGTAACAAATAAATGTACATGACATGGAAACGAGGGCTAGCTCTCCGAGACCCTGAACTAAAGGGACGTTAATGGGAACCCCAAACACGGAACCCCAAGAATATAGTGGGAACATAATAGGAATATAAGGACCCTGGTAGTCATATTCATATTATGTTCCCACTATATTCTTGGAGTTCCCTGTTTGGGGTTCCCATTAAAGTCCCTGTATAAACCCTAAACTATACACTGAGCATCTCCCCCTTTATTCTGGATCTGCAGCTACGTCCTGAACCCTTAGCCCTAAAACGCAGAGATCGCGAGACAGGCTTCAAGGTAGCTTACCAAGGCCTCACCCCAAGGATCCAAGAGTTTAGGGTTTAGGGTTTAGGCCCAATGTAGGTAATAGTTACAGACTTTGGGGCCAAATGCAGGTATTATTACTATTTGTATACTTTAAACCTCAAACCCTAAACCCCAAACCCTATATAACCACCCTTTCAGGAGTTTAGACCCTAAACCATAAACCCCAAACCCTACACACCTCAAACCCTAAACCCGAAACCCTATACGGATCATTTGTAGAACTTGCAGGGATTCTTATTCTTTTTCAAAGGCAAGGATTCACCGCGACAGTCGCAGCAGATCGACGGCTGTTTTTTGCGGCTTAGGGTTTAGCAGCTAGGGTTTAGGTTTTGTGGTGTAGGGTTTAGGATTTAGGGTTGAGGGCTTAGGATTTAGGGTTTAGAGCTTATGGCTTAAGATTCAGGATTTATGGTTTAGGATTTATGGTTTAGGATTTATGGTTTAGGATTTAGGGTTGAGGTTTCAGGGTTTAGGGTCCATCTCGGCACCAAGCTCAGGATTTCGCGCGGGGACCTGCTGGCAAAGGAGGAATTGAAGGACGGACCGCGAGAGCGCAGCGAAGTTTCACAGGGTCCTTGTACCGAGAAAGTTTGATGGTTTTGGGAATATACCTCGTCCTCAAGGAAAGCACATGGGAAACCTTCCAGGCCCTAATTATATGCTCACAGAGTTTGAGTTTGTACCCTTAATGTTTGTAACCCTAGGTTTTGTGTCCCAAATACCCTTCATAAGGGCCATTTTTCATGGTTTAGGGCCCCAAGCCTAAGGGTACAAGGCCTAAGGGTACAAAGGCAAACTCCTCGATACTATACTGATGTGGACCTTTCGGAAGTCATCCCAAAACTTAAAAACCTTAAACCCAATTTGCTCAAGCTCGCAGACTTGCTTATCGGCTCCCATGGGGGCAACCCTGCTTATCATGAAGGATGAGGGGAAAGGGCGCGTGTAGCTATATAGTATATACTAGAGACCCCCAAGGGTGCTCCCACATGAGTACTTTGGGGCCTGAGCATATATGTTGACTGAATATGTGCATCACTTATATATATATACATATATGTATATGGTGTGCGTGTCTGGGTCTGTATAGCTACACACCCTCAACCCTAAACTCGGCCCTGTGGGGTAGACTCAACACGGCCAACCTTGAGCGTCCAGTTATGCACATGAACCCACCGCAGCACTGCCGGGCAGCAGGTCTACATGCAGCGCTTCGAGAAGGGGTTCAAGGCCGCCCAGTTAGGGTTTGAATTATGGGCAATCGAAGCTGTTCAGTTGCCACAAGGTTCCATGTACGTAGCTATGTAGTTCCCGAGGTGCCATGTCGGAACCCCTTGGGGGACAAGTAGCTGCTACGTATATTCGTAGACCCTTTGGGCTGTAGTCGACAGACTTGAGTGATCCTGGTGACGCGAGGGCCTAAGGTTTCGGGTTTAGGGTGACAGCTTCCACCATTCGTCCAGCCCTGGGATGATGCCAGAGACAATTCTCAAGATAAAGCTTCAAAGTGGGGTTGCCAAACATGTTTTTTTGGGGATGCCCTGATTATCTGCAAGAAGGGCCATAGAACATTGGGCTCTCTAAGCGCTAAACCCTAAACCGTAAATAATAGCTTCCATTTTCTTTTCCATTATCCCTATGTAACCCCTAATATACTATAGTGGTTTCCATTCTCTTTTCATTATCCCTATGTAACCCAAGATAACTTTTAGATAGCCCCTATATAACCCTCATATAGCCCCTAAATAACCCTTTAACCCCTACCAAGTCGAGGACATCGACGAGTCTAAGCTGCTCCCAAAGGATCGAGAGCGCTTGGAAACTTGACCGAATGGCTGGCTACAGAAGGGAGGAGCACCTCCCTCCACCAAAGTACTGCAAACTTATAAGGATGTGTAGTATGAGTGAGGGTTTAGGGTTTAGGATTTAGGGTTTGTAGAGCTTGAGGGGTAAGAGCTGGCAACCAAACTAGAAGAGTTTGAAGGAGCAGACAGGGATGCGTCAGGTAAGTCGGGAACGTCCTGAGCGTGTCCTCAATGGGTAAATCAAGACGTCTAGGTGGGTTGTACTGTCGTCCCTACAGCGGGGGGGAAAAAGCAAAGTCAATTTTTGACGCAAACTAGCTTAGCAGCCTACTTGTTTTGTCCCGCAAGCCTATTCTACGTGGCTTTGGGCACAGGGAATGGGCAGTGCAGTTTGAGCCGAACCATAGCAATCGCCATGGACAAGAAAGGGATGCTCCGTGAAAATTCAGTTTGCATTCAAGTAACACCAGTAGCCCAAAGAGTCCATGTAGCTATATGGTATATGCTTGAGCCCAGCCCCAATGTATGTTTTATAGGAACCCTTTTGACCCCTAGTATACACATTGTACCGTATCCCTAAACCCTATAGTATATCCCCACACAGACCCTTTCAGTGTGCACAAGGAAGGGAAGCTGAGTGATGCGCAGAAGTGGCTCGAGTCGGAGGGATTGAAGGCGGAACGCGTCCGGCACATGGTTGGGATACTTGAAGGAAAAGGGACTCCAACAATATCAGGGGTCCCGTTTTTTGGGGATTCTATCATAAGAACGGCTGTATTTGGGTGTATATATTCGGGGCCGCCTTTTCTCAAGGAAATTACCAAATGTACGTTCACATCAACCTGCCTCATCTGCCGATTCGCTTGCAAGTAGCATGATTGAGATGGTTGCGCTTCATGGCTGCTGTTGGGATTTGACCCCAAGTGATTTTCCTGAAAAAGCTGCAGCATCAATCCCAGATGGTCCATGTAACCGTGTATTACCCACTTGAGCCCTACAGCAGTTCCATGGGAACCTAGTTGGACCTTAAGTGCATACTTTGTACCTACACGGACCCTTTGGGTGGTTGTCAGCCTTGAAGCACAAACCCTGAACCTAAGTTGGACTCCGAAACCCTAAGCCCTAAATCCTAAGCCCGAGGGGTTTAGGGTGTAGGGTTTAGGGTAAAATCCTAAGCCCGGGTTGGAACAGGCCGGCAAACCGGAGTTTGAGGCCAAGCAGAAAGAGCTTCAGGCAGCGATCAACACTGTCCCATGGGTGCAGTTAGGATAGTTTACGGTCTAGGGTTTAGATTGTTAGTAGGAAATGGGAAGTCAACTTCGAAATCAAATCGAACTTATAGGGATGGTAGGGCTTAAGGCTTCAATGCCTGGTAATTTGGAGGAAAGGATCCCTATTTCAACATAACTCCTATCCTTTCCATGCCCTGAGTCCCTACTAGCAACGAGCCATTGGCAAGTCTAGAGTGCGCATAGGGAGCCGGGTGGAGTTTAGGGATTTATCAACAAAATTGTTTACAGTAGACTTTACAGTAGATTATCCAAAAGCCCCTAATTCCTCTTGTGAGTCATAAGAGCCAAGATAGTCTATTGTAAATTCTACTGTAGTTTTTTTCCCATGGACTTAAGGCTTAGGGTCACAGGTACTGCAGTCGTTTGAATCATTCATCCCCTCGCCCTGATATTAAACCTCCCCAACCCCCGAATATTAAATACTCCCCATTGCATTTTTAGATAAATTGAGCATATTTCATATTGTGGTTGGTTTCAATATGAGGCGGAGGGGAATTATACATGAAAGCCCTGAGCTTTAATCCTTACATGCCCATAGTATAATATCCCGCGAAACTCTAGCCTACTTGTGTGGGTTCTTCCCTGCAATCCCCTATGTATCCCGAAGCCCTGAACCTCAAACTAGACCTTATATTTGTGGAAATGTCAGGTGGGTAGTTTCCCAAAATACCAGCCTTATATATAGTCCTGATGTCCCCATGTAAGCCCCATACATGCCTCGTTTAGGGTTTCCCCGCCTGATAATTACCGACCTGAAAACTCCCTTCACTACACATCCCTGTTTTATCGCCAATCCCTAATCTCTAAGCCGCGTCTGAACCCTAAGCCCTAAAACTCTAAGCCCTAAAACTCTAAACCCTAAACTCCGAACCCTGAAACCCTCAACCCTAAACCCTACATAACCCATTCACATACCCTATATATATATATATATACGCCCTATATAACCGCAATATAACTCCTATATAGCCCCCCTGTACATCCCCGTATATTCCCAATGGGCAGTCAAGGTCATGCTGCGAATTAACAGGGCCCAGGCCGAGTTTTGGGACCAGCAGGCAGGAGTCTAGGGGGGGTTCAGGATTTGGGGTTTAGGATATAGGTTCCGGATTTAGGGTTTAGGGTTCAGGACCTAGGGTTAAAGGTTCAAGATTTAGGTTTGGGGGTGGGGGGTGGGTGGAGGGGCGGGGGGGTGTAGACATTTGATTTAGGGGTATAGGGGTTCAGGTTTTTTAGGGCTTATGCAAAAGGATGTATAATGGCGGGCTTTGGGTTTAGGGGTTCAGGCTTAAGGTTATGTATAGGATGTGGGGTCTACAGTAGATAGAATATGGCTTTGGGTATATTATAATAAGATCCCCATATACCCCATATTCTATCTACTTAAGGGGGACTGTAGTTTTCTGCACATTTCACCTAGATCACGGCCTAGAAGAGCATTGGATTGCGTTGGGCTCCTGCGCCGTGCGGGTATTCCTTGTGACAAGCACCAGTCCGGTGGCAAAAGGGTCTATATAATTTCTATAGGGTTTAGGTTGGGTACTGCCCCCCCTCAGTAACAGTTGGATAATAACTAGAATATGGTTATATATAGCCNNGGGCAGTACCCAAGGTTTGGGGTTGCACACTCATTCGAGAAGCTTTGGGTGCAGAGTTTATACAAATTTCCATGAGGGGTTTAGTGTTTAGGGTTTCATCAGAGTTTTTTTGGTTTACAAGCTTTGGGAAGCTGTTTTTTTTTGGGTTACGGTCTCTATCAGACAACATGAACTTTCCTGAGCTTGAGGGCTCAGGGTCCAAATCAATGGTAGTGTAGACTTGGGAACCTGAAGAATTTCCAAAAAGCTGAAGGTGCAAACTGGCATCGAAGTTGGGACTATACGTTGGGCTTCATCGGGTGTTTAATGTAGTAGATCACTGTACTATCATCCCCTTGTATACCTTGTGTAGTCAAAAGCGGCTCCCAAAACCCTAAACCCAAACCCAACCTTAAACCTTAACCCCCTGCCTGTAGAACTTATGTAGGCTCCCAACAGGTCCTATAAGGTCAGCATGCGCCAGGAAGCCTACAGTGATCAGAGGTTGAAGGGTCTGACTTAAAAGCATGCCACCAAAACACATACGAGCTATAGTCTAAA